TGCGGTCCCCTATGCAATTCTTTAATGTACATTTTAAGTTTGATTATCGTTCTGTATTTTTAAATAGTTCGTATACCTATATATTTTATGTTCCTTTTAGATTGTATCGTTTAAAACTAAAAATATGCCAAAGCGCCAGCTGTTAAAATATGCCGAAAAAATACTAAAATCCATTATCTATTTTACATATACGATATACAAACCGGTCGTCTGTTTGATATCGGTGTACAGTTATTCGTATACTTAGAATTCTAGATAGAAAGGCCAATAAAAAGCCATAACAGTCTCGATTCAGAGTAATAAATGTCTTGTTTTGTGAACACAAAAACGCAAATGATGTGTGATAATATTGGTGTGTTTGGCGGTCATTCGGAAGTTTTCGAACGATTTTTCGATTCGATTTACTATGAATGAAACAATGGATGGTATATTTTCTAAAAATTCGATTATATCTCATATTAAAACGTTGGTTTTAAAAAAAATTAAGCTTAATTAAAGTAATTTTAAAACTCGACCATTAACTAATTAATGTTAAGAAGTTACTCTTTCCTCTAACCATTACATTTAACTCTTTATATATTGTAAACGTCTAATCTGTTTATCATTTAAACAATAAACAATTCCTACTAAGTATTCATTAAAGAAAGGATCAATTATAGTTTTAGCAGTCATTTATTTACAGTTACAAGAAACAATTTACTAATGTTATTTATTATAGGTTAATTCCTTTACAGGAATGTCCTTTGCTATGTTTAATACGTGCTGATATTTACTTTCATAACGAGTCAATTATCATAAGGATTATTATGTTACCAACATAATATGTAATAACATAATGTTACCAACATAATAGCAAACGGAATTTTATATTTTTAAAACTATACACCTTTGTAAACAAATGACGACGATCTTAGTAAACAGTTAATAAAAATAACATAATTATGTGCGGTCATGGAAAAATGCAGTATTTGAGAGGCTAAAACTAACCTACTAGTTGTAAAACCAAAATTCTTTACTGACTCGATTTGAATTTCAATAAAATTATTTTTAAATCCATTTAACAACTAATATTAGTGAGTAATATAAAGTTAAAAAAATCTCTACAAACATGAAGGTATGTGACAAAATAATTCCTGTAGCTAACTCCTGGTATTTCGAAATTCATTACGTTGCGAGCAAGTTGCCGGCGGGAATGTAATTTTGCACTAATTCTATCACTGGCCACGATCCTCTGTGGCTCTGTGCAATTTTGTAATAAAAAAAACATGTGATGACGTAGTAGAGGGCAATAACCTTGTGACCTGACTACCTAGGGTTGTTCACATATTGACCTATAAAGGATGCATGGACAATGTTGAGTTGACCACAAAGAAAGGATAACTCCTTTTCTGAAGAAAAATGATTGACAGATACTTCATTAGTCAAAATCATGTCAGTCGTTTACGTGACTGAAGTTTCAACTGCCCTATCTATTTGTAAAAGTGTACAGTCAGCTACGAACTTGTAACGGAAAAATGCATACATATTTTTTAAAACGAAAGCCTATACAAGTTTCAAGTTTTGTAAATCAATACTAATTTAATAAAGCGTACAAACACACTACTTTGTGGCGTAAGATGTCAGCAATCATAGCATATTTGTGAATAATTATTTCTTTAATAAAAAGCCTTACACTTACGACACGCTTTAGGCTATATATTTTTACGCTATTAAACATAGGGGTAAATAAAATGGAAAAAACTTATTCGTGGGAAAAGGACCATAAACTACAAGCTACCAACATTATTATGGTAACGGTAATTTTGACATTTGTAATTTGCCGCAAGAGAACAGCTAGTATATACATATTTATGCAACTGACAGTCCATTTTTGTATGACTAATTCTGGGTTGCTTAAGTGTCAATTGATTTCATGATTAAATTATTTTTGGTATCGGAGGGAAATATTCAAAAGATCTTATTTTATCATTGCCTAGTGATTCAATATTAGGTTGACCTAAGATTCAACAGAGTAAAACTCAAGTTACGTAGTTCAGAAACATTTCATAATGTTGTTTAGAAAACACTAACGGTTAAATGTAGCTGGGAAACCGGACATTAGTTAACAATGTTACCTGTAACCTAAATGAATGAACTCTATAATAAAAATTAGTATCTCCATAATAAAAAAAATTAAAAAAAGGAACTCACTAGTGTTATAAGAATTACGCAACAAAAAAAAAGAAAAGAAAAACAAACTGTGCCAAAAAGAGTACGGAGCAAGAGTCTGTAGAAGTTAATAAAAATAAAAAATTAGCTACTTTTATTACAACAAAATGTTCTTCTCTATGTTATGAAATATCATTTACTGAAACAAAATTAATTCTTCCAAATAAGACTTAATTAAGTTACGCTCTGTTGCGCCGAAACGTGTTAATTTTTTGTAGGTCCAAGTAAGATCTGACTTAACATTCTTTTATTAAAACCATAATTGTTAGTTCTATTCTCATCTATCGGTAAGTCAGGGGGTTAGACCTTGACTTGTAATCAGCAAGGTCTGGGTATTATCCTTTTTTAAAAGTTATTGATACGATTGCGTTTTGTTTTGCGGATGATTTTTTTAAATACACGCTAAAGTATGAAAATGTGTATACTAAATTATGTCCAGAGACACAGTGATCCATTCAATGCCTCAGTACAAGCAGTCGTTGTATATTTTTATGTAAATTTGCATATATTTATTTAGTAAGACGTCGTCGTGACGCGACATAGCTAATTGTTAACTTACACATTGTGTTTCTCACGATAGCTACGTGTTAAGTTTGTTTTTTTTTTATAGTTTTTACCAATATTTTGAATTTATGGAACATCGCAGTTGTACTGGTAAGTGTTTATTTGATGTTTATTGTGATAATGTCGATAATTTATCTTGTATTTAATTATTGTAATAATAGAAATCTATACATATAACAAAATTGGAATGTCTGTTTGTGATATCAAAAAAAAATCAGATTTCAGGAAGATCATGTATTAGCGTTGCTGATAACGAAAATCGCATTACATACAGTCAGTCTGTCTGTCCGCAAGCCGCGTTTGTTTCAGGAAATCTCCGAAACGGGTGGACCGATTTCGACGAGACTTTTATTGGAGGGTAGCTGACATAAACGGGCTTATTATAGGCTACTTTTTATCTTAACATTGCGTGGACGAAGTCGCGGTCAACAGCTACTTAGTTGTAATATAAATATCTTATGGTGAATATTGATTCTTACGATGTCTATGGGAACGATATAAAGGGTAAACTTGTATTGTTCATATTAATCTTATTTTTATATCTTTATTGGAAACTACAAAAAAAATATTGGATTCATTTATAGAAATCGAACAGATTATGTATTTTAATTATCCTCATAAAGAATGGATAGCCGTTTTCACAGAACACAAGGGCATATTGTTGTCTCACACTTTTAAAGATATTGAAAGGGATGGCGATATGGCCTGGTAACAGCTGTGGTTTCACACGGTCATACATTGTTATTAAGAATATACTAATCAAAAGAAAATACAGTCCACCTAAAATTTACATAATACATCTAAGGGTGCAGTTGCTAATAGCGACGCCTGTTATCTACAGTAATATTATAAAGAGGAAAACTTTGATTGTAATGAGTAGTCTTAAAAACTACTGGGCCGATTTTAAAAATTCATTCACCGTCAGAAAGGTAATTGATCTGTGAGTAACATGGGATATATTTTTTGTATTTCATTTTTATTATTTTTAAATTACAAGCGGAGTAAGTCGCGGGCAAAATGTAGTAACTAATATGTGAGAAAAAGATTAGTTCGCAAAGGTTGTTAACAAAGGTACAGAATTTAATAAACAGTATACACTATGTTATTTAAATTGTGCATAAACCGTAACGTATAACTGACAAGGATGGAAAATCGTAACCCGTTACGTACAAAATGGTACGATTTTAATATTGAAAAATTTTTTAATACCGAAGCTTATCGATTTCAATCGGAGAGAAATATTTTTTTTTATCAAACTCAGCAAATATGTTTGTAGAATAATTTGAATTAAATAAATCTCCATAAAGGCACGTGTATTGCGAATATTTTTAATAAGACGAAACTTGGAACTGAAATAACAACTCATTTTTTTATTAAAAACAATTGAATACCTTTAGATAAGTGGATGCGTGAATGATTATAGTTAATGGGTTTAAATTCGTCGCCAAAAAATTCTTTTTTTCTTATATGCGTAATTGTTTCATCTATTACCTTCAATTTATTTTAATATCGTACCAAATAAAGGACGCGTGAATAATTTTAAATTATAAATCGAAATACGTAATTCAATCGAACTTTCTTGCGTTAATTACTGAAATGTCTTGTTTGATTTGTTTTAAAGATGTTGTATTAAAGCCGGAAAGTCTCCCCGACTCTAGTTAATTCGAGAAAAGCGACTAAAAGTTTTATGAGACCACGAAACTCCTTTCGGAAGAATTTTCCACTGCCGTGATTCTTGTCTAGGAACATTTTTGATTTCGTACTTTCAAAAAGAACGTTGGAGTTTATGTTTAGACCTCTACACTATAAAACAATTGCCAAATACAAAAACGAGCATTGTATTTTTTGTTTTTATTCAGTTTTACATTTTCTGCGTCCGAAAAATGTTTTTTTTTTTATCTGGTTGATTTTTAATTTTTTTTACATTTTTACAATACATTTATTTTAATATTACGTATATAAATTAAAATTTTCGCGCGGAAAAAAATAAATATCTCATATTCAAATATTTAAAATTTTTAATGCAAAGCACATAAAAGTAATCATCAAATTTCTTCACTATTAATTTATTTTCATTCGCGCTAATTTACTATACTTTTAAAATCTGCCGTTTAACTTTTTAAACACAACATACGATTTTTTTTAAATGATTGACTTTTATAACGGAGAAATTAAAAAATATAAATGACGTACACAGTAAAAAAAAATCGCATTGCTTTTGGACTTACCTCATCGGGACATGTACTGATTGGTGTCTATGGTTGTTAGGTTTGTTCCTACTCATTCGGGGTTCGTCCGAATTCGCCACGACTGAAACGCGAGCTGCCACAACTGCCTCGACCGCCGCTGCTGAGCAACTGACTCTCGCCCTCCCCACTCACTCTTTTATATACTGCCCCGGCTAGGGCTGGCCGTTTTCCTTTTCCCCGAATGCCCGATTGCTAGCCTAACACATTTTCATTGTAAAATGGAAATTGACAATTGCTCCAAAATTTTTATAATGTCGATTTATTGTTCCAGTTTTTTTTTGGCTAATCGAATGATAGTTCTGTATCTAAAAATGTTTAGTTTTTCATTAGGAAAATAACACTTTTTTCGACCTTATACAGATATAGAAATAAAGAACATTCGTACTTGGTTATATATTTTAAGCTTAGTTTTTCTTAAGTATGCGTCACCCTGCAACTGCGAAGGCATAGGGGGATCGTAAGTGATCAAGGTTAAGTAAATTCTCTCTGTCCTTGCGTCCCCTCTTCTGTCAATTGAAGGCAGGAAATGCATCTGCAACTGCGAATGTTTAAGGGCCAGCGGTCGCATCGCTATTTCGACATCAGGATCCCACTAGCAAGTTTGTCACATTTCAATTTAAAATGATTAAATCTGCCAAATTTTAAGCTAGTCAGAAAACAAATTGTCGGTGTTAACAATATTAAGTTGGCACACCCTTGATAGTGGCCTTTCTATCCAAATATTGGGAATATGCACACGAATACAATACCTATTGTAAATTGAAATGCATACTACTACTAAGGTATATTGGGTGTTGCCAGGGGGAGGGAGGCTGCTCCCTCCTAGAGATTCCAAAGGTAGAATAGCTATAATACCATATTAATAGTAGCTGTCCCTCCCCCTAGACCAAACAGTTCCGACGTTAAGGTAGGTCGAGAAGTAGCGACATAGATGCAAAAAGGTTTTCGTGTAAGTTTGTATTGCAAAAGAGACGCCGTAGTTTCCACGCCCAGGTCCAGAAATAGGTTTTAGGGATTTAATTATATTTTATTATTGTAAGTTCATGTTGTTTATGTTTTACATATTTATTCATCAAAAAACAAGCTTGGCATTTAAGCATATTAAATACGAATAAAACTCGAAGATGTCAAATTAAAGCCATAGTTAAATTTTTCACTTTAATAGAAAATTCAAACCATTTAAAAACAAAACACAGGAATGTACTCATGAACTCATATAAAGTATGAAGACTAACCATATTGAATATTTATAATCAGTCATAAATAAATAACTGAACAGTTTGCAAGAAAAAAACAGTTTTCAACGCCATGCGGAACCGCAGGACCCAGCTAGTTATTGATACAGTTTAAACAAATTAAACATAAAATTTGTCACAGATAATAAATAATGAATTTGATAAAACATTTTATTATTCGTCACGGTGGTAGAATATAAATTTCATGGCATTGCATAAAAAAAATGGCCATGAAAGTAAAAGCAATGGGACTATGTATTTTATAGCTTCAATTTGAAGAATCCTCAAGCTTCCTCCAGTCTTCACAAGACAACTAATTTTAATTCAAAAATTGTAATCTGGGAAAGAATAAGACTCAGATAACACCTCCAACTTTAAAGTCGATCAAGCTGTAACAGTAGTTCATATTTGAGACCTCCAATTTCTTGTTTAAACTATTAATACCAAAGCAGGTTATAAATGACACCTCTAACTTCCAATCCGTCAAGCTGATAATACCACAGGAGGCTATAAATGACACCTCCAACTCATTGGTCAAGCTGTTAATACCACAGGAGGTTATAACAAAATGACACCTCCAATTTCCAATCCGTCAAGCTGTTAATACCACAGGAGGTTATAACTAAATGACACCTCCAACTTCCAATCCGTCAACCTGTTAATACCACAGGAGGTTATAACTAAATGACACCTCCAACTTCCAATCCGTCAAGCTGTTAATACAGCAGTAGTTCATACTTGACACCTTCAATTTCTAAATAGGTCAAACTATTAACACCACATAGATTATATATGACATCTCGAACTTCCAAATCATTCAAACCACGGGGGTTCATAATATGTAAATAGTAGGAGATGACACTTCGGTTGCAATTAGGTGAAGCTTTTAAAACAGGAATGGACGTAAAAACAAATCTGAATAGCAAAGTTACATTACTTGTCGGGGAAAATGTACTTTAAGTAAGATAACGGGGTACTAATGTTAAAAGCATGAAGTTAACTTCAGTTTGCATTGAATAAAGATGGCGTGTGATAAAACCATGTTTGATGCAAATGTTTCAGGCACTATGACGTCACGGTTGCAATGTACGACGAGATAAGCAAGATGAATGGTAAAATCTTACTTTGTATCAGTGAAACTGCCTCAGTATAGTATGCATGGAATATAAAAGGAAAAATTGTAAGGAAACAGTAAAAAATGTGCATTAATCTCGACGTTTTCCGATATTAAATTTAATTCAGCTAAACTCGGCTTAGGTCTAATTTCAATTTGAACAGTTATTGAAATAACTCAAAAACTACTGGGAAGATTTCAAAAATTCTTTCACCATTAAAAAGCTACGTTGTTAGTAAGTGACATAGGCTATACGTTTTATTTTTGTTCAATATCACACGGACGAAGTCGCGGCCAACAGTTAGTATTTCCTCTGTTCCTCACTCTCTCCCACTTCCTCTGGTATTGCGGATGTTCGTTGGCGTCGATGACAATCTCGGTGCTCCTGCTGCACATTTGCCCCTACTCTTATAAAAAAAAAGTTTTTTGTAAAAAAACCACGTGAAAAAAATTTCAGAAACAGTTGTAACATTTACATTCATACGTAGAGCTGTCTTTACATCAAAGTACTCGTATATTTGATCGTTCTCCCGTAAATCTAATCTTGTCTCTGTGAACTATTTTGTGTCAATTCAAAAGGGGCTGCTCTTTTCAACTTTAATAATACCCACCCCTTCACACACTCCCACGCGCAGGACTTATATTTATTTTCGTAAAAAATAAAAAAATTGCGATGTTTTATAACAATAAAGTGTTACCGAAACTTAACACTCTGACCTACAATCAAATGTACCATAGTAGTTAAAAACGACTTTGAAATACTAATTGTGGTGGTATGTTTAGTGGAAAGTTTTTATATAATAAAAGGGGGAAAACGAGCGGCGTGAACACCAAGGTGGTCAACGACGCCCATGGACATCTGCAACACCAGAGGAACTACAGATGCGTTGCCGGCCTTTGAGAAAATGATAGGTTCGCTTCTTGAAGGACCCTAATCGTATTGGTCTGGAAATAGCGCCGAGGACAGACCGTTCCACAACGCGGCTGTGCAGGGCAGAAAGTTCCGCGATTTTTGTCGCTGATAATTGCAGGAATATATCATCTATTAAGGCTTACTCGAATTTACTAAATAAATGTTATACTTTTACTAAATACATATTAAGGGATCCAACATCCGGCTCTGGAACATGCAAGCGGAATAGAAAATATCGTAAAAGATTTAGAAATAAGACTATTTTTAACGGAGACATGTGCATTGATAAAATATGTACAGAAAAAGACTAGAAAAAAGTGATGACGTCGACAATGTGTTCTAATTTTAAATAATTTAAATTCTTCTTCTTTTCTAATGGCTTGACTCTAAAAACGTGTAAAAACTCCTTGAACAGATGGTTTTATCTATTTACGACCGTTGTCTGCTTTTCTATGTAGATTTTGAAAATGGCACTACAGTTAAATATTTTTTTAAATTAATAACATCTAGACGTTAGTTATTGTACGATGACATGTACATGATTCATCACTTATTATGCCTATGATTGGTTTGTTTAACAATATTCGTGATGTTAGAGAAAAAAACACGTAGGTAAGAAGGTAACTAAACATTTGCAATAACTAGTAATGTTAAGTTGCAATTACTAGTCAATTTTGTAAAAACATAATTTAAAAGAAACTTTATCATTATATGAAATAACTAGTAAAAATAAATATGAAAAATATCTTTAAATAAAAATAGCATTTTGAACAACATCGTATAGGTTCATCAAGAAAATAAGATTCAGGAGTTACTGCCAACTTCCATGCAACGGAAATTTTCTGTACAGATTCAATGGTAACAGCGTGGGGCTAGATGTCACGTAAAATTAGGGTTTAAGTCTTAATTTGAAACGCCATTGTTTCCAGATGCAATGGGTCTTTGCGTCAGGATTCATCCTCACAATATACAATGAAAATAGTTACCCAAATATACGATACCGTTTCTTACACATTTTAACTTAGGAGCTAAAGTACAGGTTTTTATTTCTTTTTCATGCATAAGTACGTCGACATACTTCGTTATCAATATTGATTTTTTTAAATAAACGAAGCAACGGACAAAAACCGGAAAAACATTCAAATCGAACAAATACGTCGTTGATCACAATTATAAACTTGTTTTAAATATTTAGATACATGTTTAAAATATTCTAATTTATGTAATTCTGTTATTCGAGATCGAGGTAGAGAGAAAAATAAAAACAAGATAGTTGAATGACCCCAACCGCTGCTGCTATATGGAAAGACGGCATCCACACAATGCAGGTCAAGGAACTTTGTCGAGGATAATGTTTGACATCTATACTTATTACACGAATTATTGTTTGTAAAGCCTTACTCGGGTGACAAATACTTTATGCACTTCAACGAGTATTCAGTAAATTTGCGCCAGCGAAAATTTAATAGCAAAAGCATGCTATGGACATACCTCACAATGTTAACATTGGAATGTAATTAGATTAAATGTGGATACCTGCAAGGCTACTATAAGACTTAAGAAATATAGATTATATTAGAAAACAAAAGAAAAGCGACGTCAATTCACTTCAATTCTTTTTTCAACTGTTTATTTCACTTTTTTTTCCAATTCGAGCTTATGTATCATATCACCATTGACTAGGTATTCCATTAATTATTTCCAGTTATGTTACGACACGCGTAAAACCTCACGAGACTACACGCTACAAGTCTTGAGCGAAACGCAAATGCTAGGCTTTCTATAACACCTAGCCAGTACTTAACTAATTAGTAAAATAGTTGTCTTTTTTTGTTCTTTTTTAATTATTTTATCTGAGTTGCTCTTTGCCACTATTTAGTTTTTTTTTCTCTTTAGATTGATAAATCTGTTATGATTATTAAGCTTATTTTATTACTAGTGTACAGCGACCTCTGACTATCTACGCTTCCTTTTACATCTTGGGAAGGGGGTGGCTGAAAACCAGCTCGACACTGGATCTCAACCAGTATCAGTTAAGCTGAGCCATCTGTTATAATTTTTTCATGTATGTTTTTTTTTTATTTTGTACAACTCTGTGTATTCTTAGATGGCAATAAAGAGGTATTTTTTTTAATTGCAGACACAGTTTACTAGCTTTGGTCATCTTAGGTCCCAGGTATCCCATGTCTTCGTCTCTTCCATGTCTGCCTCTGTGTGTACTGGACCTTCCTGTATACTCTTGGGAAGATCTATCTTGAAGCTGAAGGATCAACGATGCCTTTTTTTTTCAGAAGCATAAAAAATACTCCTGAAGATGAATAGCAACTATGCGTTAGAGATGACCAGTAAACTAAGGAGTTTTTTATAGTAAATGGCGGAAAACGAGCGTGGTGAACTCTTAGGCGTTCAACAATGCCCATAGACATCCACGACACCAGAGAAAATACACATGCGTTGCCGGCCTTTGAGAAAATGGTAGGCTCGCTTTTTGAACGAACCTTAGTCGTACTGGTTTGGAAATACCGCCGAGGACAGATTAGTTAAACAACGCGGCTGTGCGAGGCAGAAAGTTTGGCGAATGCCAACCATCGAGATGGTGAGGATAATACCTTGCGGTCTGTCATGTCGTCCGATGACGAAGCTCGGCGGCAGGAATCGTTCCAAACAGCTCCTCGGAACACTCCCCGTGGTAAATGCGATAAATACTCATGGAAAGGCTTCTCTTAATCACACACAAACACATTGAAATAACAGAGCAACTGACCCGACCACATGCGATGTACGAAATGCATTGCGAGTACATCTGGCAAAACAAAACAAATGATATCGCTCAATCGGCGGGTGCCAAACAATTCATCCTTCGTGAATCACGTAATTGTATACGGATGTCCTTTATTGTTCCCTACAGGGGCTGCAGCTAAATAACAGCATCTCAACTGACCAGTAATTGCATATGTACGAGTAATGTGTAAAATTGTAATAATCCATTTTTAACCCTAGGTTTTTGAAGACTTTATAAGTAAATATACGTATTAGAAACCTCTATATGTTATGTCTAGTTTACTTTATGGTCTAATGCTTTAATCCAGCACTGAATTAGACTGTTGGACTGGAATAATGTATAGGGCGCTATGATTTACAGGGATTTACGGATGCTATATGTATGTTTATGTATATGGTAATTATTTGGCTTTGATTTTCTGATAGTAACTTTCCATTTATGACATTTTGCCATATTTAGGTGGAAGGAGATGAGATAATAATGCAATTAACTAATATTACGAGTATAAGCTCGTACTCTCTGTCTATAACTATTGTAACTTTTAGTATACTATGTAGTTATATATATATTTTTAAATCAACATCTACAGACTCTTGGTCCGTACTCTTTTTGCACAGTTTATATCTTTTTTTCTTTTTTGTTGCGTGATCCTTATGCTATATTAATTAGTTCCTTTTTAATTATATACCTGCTTTTTGTTTTTATTTCTTTTTCATTACTTATTCTATTTATGTTAACATCATCAACTAATACTATCATTGACAACAAAACCCATTCAATATAGACTATGACACTCTTTATTTACAATTTTCGAACAATCCGATTGTTGACCGATTTCTGTTCTTTGTTTTGTTTTTTCACGATAACTTAACTAAGAGTGGTATTGTGCGGTGGCAATGAGGTCATTGTTGGGCGGCTGGTGGTCGATCGCCGACCCCGAAGGAAACGCCACGTCGCTGGTCATCGGAACGAATGCTGAGACAAGGCACCATTGTTCAACTTCACTACTCTTATCTATTGTTCAACTTGTGACGTCATATTTTAATATTTATAATATTTTTTGGAGGTAGATGAGATCTGGTTCCTAAGTCCTGGTAATCAAAAATGCGATACCAAATAATGATTTCTTTAAACAATAACAAAAGAGAGTAAAAATTACATTTTCTCCAGCATGATATTGTTAGAATAAAAATTTCCTTATCGAGGATACTAGGCTTGCGGAAGCGTATGTGCCATTAATATGCTACTAACATCCCAGCAACCGTCTCGTGCAATGCCACGCCGTTACACCTTCTATGTTTATTATTTCTATTTTATAGAAATACATACCTTGTTCAAGTAAACCCTTAACCATATACGAAACGCAAGGCAAAGCGCCTGAATCTATTGAGGTGAGCCTGAGAGTGAAGGCACGAAGAGAGTTTGTCTCTCCTGGTTGACAGGAGCCATTGCAAATTTCAGTGCGTTACGATGGAGAGTCCGACATTCAGTCAAATTGCTCTAGATGATGGCCGCGGATGTAAAACATAAACTTGTCTATCCGCCAGACAGGACATCTTTTGAAGATTTCCTGCAATACTAAAAAAGGTGCAAACTATCGGATTGCGGTACTTATTGCTCATGCAGAATACAAAAGAAGTAAATTTTTCAATTATTTTGTTTAATTTAATCTTGTTTATAAAGAACAAAATGCTGGCAGTGAGCCATTCATGAGTGATTTTAAAATGTGATAAGAATATTGAAGTTCCATAAGTAAGGAATTTACTTCCGTTACCTTACGTGCGATTCATGTCCTTCACATCATAGACGTTAACAAGGGTGTAGCGGGACAGCTGCCCAGATCCCTATAGAACCTAAAAGTAATAAAGATGTGAAACAACGAATAAGGCTGTATTTGGTAGCTGCGTGCAGAGACTGGAGCATGAAGGATGGTGACCACATAACTTAGAAATGATAAGATATAATCAAGAAGGGATGGAATGGTAAATATACTTTTTATGTACGTCTCCTCCTCCGTCGCTTTAAATTAGGTAACGCATCTGCAATCGCGGATGCTTATGGACAGCGGTCGCTTCAGGTGGCCGCTTTTTTCCCACCTTATGTTATAAAAAAAATAAGGTAACATATAATTATTGTTGGTTGATAAGATCAAAAACCTGATGACTATGCATTTGTAAGTATTTTTTATATATTCTTTGTTCATTTGTTTATCGGCAGCAATTAAAAAAATAATTTCCCCAGCGTAGGCATTCCATTCGTAAGCCCGTATACGTATATCTCTTATTTTACTCACTAAAGTTATCAAGTGGCATTCGTACAGCTCAAATGCATCGACATAAATGCCGCAAAGATTGCTACTGGTTATGAATATTTATTATTGTTAGGTTAATTTTATATTGAATACTTGTTCTGGCCAAAAGATATTAAATGCATTATACGTTTCTAGACGGGTTTCTTAGTTGGACGCGTATGCAGTCTGAATATGGATAATCAATAGTACAAGAAGTCGGTCAAAAATTATAAGAAAACAATGTCATAATTAAGGATAACAATTTTAACGGGATTCTAGAATACATTGGGAAACATTTGTGACAATGGCAATTAGTGTTTAAATGCTATGCAGCCCTCATCCCTAGAAAATCAAACTTGAATAAAATATTGAAAGTAATTGAACTAATTGTTTTTCATTAAAATCGGAATTGTTAATTTTTTCGTAAATGTAATAAAGATAAATTACGTTGCCAATAGTGAAAGAATGTTAAAAATTGGCCCAGTAGTTTTGGCGTGAGTGAAACACACAAAAATCCAAAAACAAAAATCTTTTATATTTATAATATTAATATAAAAGTATAGATAGATTTATGGCGTTGATAATTCCAATTCTTATTATGGACCCATCAACTAAATTTTAATAGATTAGATCTTGAAGGATCTGATAAATATTGTATATTAAGGAAGCTTATTTAGATGTTTATATTTTCAACAATTACGACTGACGACTGTGGTGCGAGGTAGAGAAATTAGATCGATTTGTAGCAAAGAGTATGTTATACGACTACAGTGCGACGTGCGACAAGGATATTGTGACATTTATGTGACATTGACAGGAGGGCGACTCTGAACACTTGGGGCTACCAGCGAGGTGTTTTTGCCACATTTAAGGGAAATTTTTCGCTTTTGAATTACGAAAAAGAAAATTGTAAAGGAAGCATTTGTACCTTACAAAGTAACTAGGAAATACTCTTGACATCGTTTGTCGGGGAGAAGAGTCTACTTAAAGAACTTTTGTAGCAAACTTTTACCAATACTCTCTTTAGACAGTAAGGGAAATAATAGCCTTATCATAATAGATATTGTTTTACTTAATGCTTATCTATAGAATAATACAAATCTTAATGATTGTTTGTTATTTACAATCAACACAGTACAAATTATGTGATATGCCCAGTGGTTCAAAAGTTGCGTTATAAAACCATTAGACAGCCAATAATTGTTATTTTTCTGAATAAACACAGTAATTTCCTTATTACGAAAATAAATAGGTACTTTAAAAACTATAACCCTTGTTGATTATATGTCATGAAGGCGATACTTAATTAAGGGCTCGGTCACTGTAATTTGAAATGTATAAGTAATAAAACAACTATCAGCAAAATATGTACAAGTCAATACAACAATTTTTTGAAATTACAAAGCTAGACACATTGTTGCATGCATCCCCTTGGGACTAGGGAATTTTTTGATTTTCGAAACGGCAACACTTTTACACTTTCCACTGCAAATAGTTGCAAGGATAAAAACATTTTGTATAAAGGCAAATGCCATATTCAAAAAACTGTAAATAATAGAATGTAAGAATTTAAATAATTTATAGCTTATTTAAAAACGGTAAAGTTTTGACAATTTAGTAGTGGCAGTTGGGTAAAATCAAGTATAAATCTTTTCGAGTTTCAATTTTTACACTCATAGAACTTGGTATCCATAGATTTATAGCTATGGATTTTAGATTAAAAATGCAAAGCACTGTTTTTTGGATCAAAAGACTGGCGTCTTAGAAGAAATCCATGGCTTCTAAAGAGGATATACATCAGAGCATCTCGTTCTCTCTTGGTAGAATTCAGTAGTTTCAAATTCACAAACAGTAGACTAGACAAATTATATCTGGTCACACTGTATGATGACAAGTCAATTCTGAATTGAGTATTGATCGTAAAATTCACGTCCTCTTGTCCTCTTTGTTCACGTCTATTCCATTTCCGAGACCCGCAAGATCTAAGTCGCTCTGTCCGCTAATCAATTTAATTTATTTAAAAATTCCATATTCTTTATCTAGTTGGGTAGTAAGTTAGGCATATGGTGCTTCAAATACGCAGTGAAATTTTAATGGCTCCGGTAGTTGGTCAACCAGCACACTTAGTATCCACATTGGAAGGTAAGTATTGGAGCAGGTAAGTATTAATTCTTTTATCCCATTGCTGGTGGTTTCTGTACACTCCTTGTTTAGTGCAGTTAGGTCATGGATCACCGCAGTCAAACCAGCTCACAAAGAGCCCCAGCAACTCTTACGTTAGTGGTGATCTCTAGGATCAATCCCATCAATCTGAGATACTTAACCCTGTAGTTGGACACTGTTGGGTGGTATTGTATAGGTGAACACCTAAACAAATGTGTAGTTTTATTCTTGGGTCCTCCGAGTATAATCCTAATCCAGAACCAGTGCTGAAGTTGTCAGCTTACACTTGGTCGGCTCTCCAAACACTGTAAATGGTGTTTCCGGTGTTGCCTGTTACCTATTCATCATGAATATTAAGATGATCTCGCTGTCCCATTACCAATAAGTTTTTGGACTCTATAATATAAATATTATAAAATACACACTTCAAATACTAACAACATTTTATGTGTTATTAGTAATTTTGGTTGCGGTTAATTTAACATGATATATTATCATATACCATATTTCTCCGCTATGTTCTTCAAATATAGCTAGCTGTGAGCACCAATTAGCTCATAAAAAGGTGTTATCTTAAAAGATAATACTTTAAATAACACAAAATTCTTTACAACCATAAACACTTAGCCTCTTAGTACTACACGCTGTTGTCTAAGTTCAAAATTCGGTTCATACAAGTTTCCTACAGAAGCCTTGTCACAGTACACTAGTTGTAATCATTAATAGCATAGTATTCCACTATTCAAATGTTATGCTGTTTTTATTAGTTATAACCAATACTAACATAACTTACTAAATGCCTAATACTAGCACCCAATAAAATGTAAATAGATAAGTCAATAATTATAATAATTAATTATCCTTTACATTGTGTATAAGTTTTTTCAGAAGGGGAAAGAAGAAATAAGGTTGCAGGCATAGGAAGAATATTTTGTATCTTACAAATTTTATGCACAGATTTAAATCTTGTCTAAGGATAGGACTATTACATGATTTATAATCATTTAAGAGATTATTTGTACATAGGTAGGAAAAGCGTAGACATGCGCTTCCTATAGCAGCAGGTGGGACGACCGATCGATACCGATCCGGCGCGTCGCCGCCCGCCACACCCCATCGCAGGCTACGACGCACTAGCGACACCCCAACACTGCTTTAAAATATGCTCTTTAGATATACGTATGATGTTAAGTTACAATGAAGTTAAGATATTTATTTCTACATCATCATTTAAGGCACTACACTAAAGCCGCGGGTGTGCTTGGTCCTGTAAATTTCGCCTAGTCCATTTTGGGTCTTTTGCATCCAGCCTTTGACCCCGACATTCTTCGGATCGCGTTTGACGTCATCTAGCTATCAAAGCTTCGGCATACTACGTGCTATGGAGCACCGGATGGCCGGTTTACTTTCCAACAGGCGTCTAGGCACTCTACGTTCAACCATGTTTGCAACTTGTCCAGCGAAGCCGTCTAATTTTGATTTCCTTCATGTTTGGCTCCTCGTACATTTATTTCTACACAGATACTAATTGCGGCAGGTGGGACGACCGATCAATACAGCTACGAGCGCGTCGCCGCCCGCCACACCCCATCGCAGGCTACCTACGCACTAGCGACTCCCGACACTGCTTTATAATATGCTCTTTAGATAAACGTTTTATAATGTATTATTTATTTCTACACAGCAACTAAATTAAATGTCAAAGATTCGTCTTATCCTGTGAGAAATTTGGAACTAGTGGCAGGCACCATGCGGAGCGGCCAAGTGTTGGGGCAGCCTAATAGCCGATATACATTTAAAAAACCTTTTTTGTTCAATTGATTATGTATCTCATTTTATTAATAATATATTATTTTTAAAATTATTTTATGTTCATTTTTTTTCCTTTAAATAATTTACGTTCCTTTTATTTTAATTGAGCGTCGGTGGTTCAGGGGTAGAACACTTGACTTGTAATATACAGGTCTTGGGTTCAAATCCCGCCATGTACCAATGTGTTATTCGAATTTCGAATTACATATGTACATTTATCCGACGTTCTTACGGTGAAGGAAAACATCGTGATGCAACCTGCACATATCGGCGAAGAAATTCAAAGATATGTGTGAAGTCAACCGTGATGTTCGAAGGATACGGGTTTCTTGACACGATTGGGTTGTTTTAGTTTCCGATATTTCAACAAAGTTGCATGCGTCATGTTCACGGGCTGGATGAAACGCGGTAGAGTGCGAAAAATAGTTACAAGAAGTCATATCGGTCTACTTTTGTATACAGGTACCACTGCTACTACAATTACTGTCCGTTTTCACTACACTCAAAGTCTACACTAGATGTTTTCTGTCGACAAACTACTCTCACGTCCACACTTGTGCGCGTACTTACAGTTGGCTGCTGTCCAGTTTTGTTGTAATATTAGAATGCTGAACTCCAGACATGCTACGAGTCGATTTGTCTTATTGTAGGTCTGAGTGGAAACTTACCTTGCGGTCCTTTGGCGAGCTATATAGTTTAGGCGGTTCCACTATTCTAGGCTGTATTAGATATGGACATTTGTAGGTATGGTATAGATATCTTTGTTTATTAAAACTAAGGTTCCCGATTCATTCGCTGCATAGGATTGTTATTCAGCATTTGATAAGTAGAAGCATCGTCTACTAAATCCCTGATTTTAGTATCGTATAGTGTGTCTAAATAAGATAGATTACTTTGATAAATGACGCATATGAAGTATCGAATTCAATTTGTATGAAGGTGTGCCATACTTAATTGACAGGTATCGTAGTGACGAAACGAATACGCGTAGCGAACAATTTTGAACTATCGATATTCGGTTTAAATAATTATCGAACTAAATTTATTATTTTCTTATTCACTAATTTAGAGGACAATTCTAGTATTGATTACAGTGTAGAGAATTTAGCGATGACAGATATAATAACGAAATCCAATTCGATTACGTACGGCTATAGTAGTAATAAACATTTATTTACTCTCATTATTTGTTTTAGTCATTATTCATTTGAGAAAACAGTGTTTTTTTTATTATTTCATAAGTTACAACTATATATCTATAGATTCCAACTTCTATAAGAATAAAAATCTAAAATCGATAAGATTCATGAGTGATTTTACATAACCCATCCCTACTAAATTTGAAATGAATTGTCAAACTTATCTAAATTATTCAGACACACTATAGTCATAAACATTCATAACATTCGTCGCGTTGCTTTTGTCTGCCTTCAACACTAATATGTCGGAGTCATTGCGATTTTCTTTTAATGCAGTTCTTTTAGTAACGTTCTCATGAAGGGGTTTTGGCTTACGTAATGTTTTAAACTTTTATCGATTAGTCGCTTCTGTGCCGCCTATTACTTTCTCGATATGCGTGTAAGTAAAGCTTGCTAGTAAAAGTATAAGAAATGTGTACAGAGTTGATAAATCATACTTCATACTAATACTATAAGTTTGAATGAAAGTTTGAATGGATGGATACCGAGAGTTTGTAGCTTAAACGGCTTAACAGATTTCAATAAAATTTTGCATAGATTTAGAGGGTAGTCTGGAAGAACACATCGGCTATTTACATTTGTTTTTTTAGTTTAATTGGCTTAAATTTTTTAGTTTAAAAGTTTAAATGGATGGATGGATAGATGTATGTTTGTTAAAGTTTGTAGCCTAAACTGATTGTGATGAAATCTGACATAGACGTAGAGGATAGTCTGGAAGAACACATAGGCTTTTGTTTCTTCTATTCCAAGCGGACGGAGTCGCGGGCGAAAGCTAGTAATTATATAATTAAAAATTCAGTTACATTATTGTTGTAATGAACATTGATATTGAATATGCTGTTTATAGTCTGTGTAAATAAGGTTGATTAGTTAGATTAATCAAGCATATGAAATATCGAATAAAATTTGTATGAAGGTAAATGCCGTACTTAATAGACAGGTATCAGTGACAGAACATTAACGCATAGCGAACAAATGTGAACTATCGATATTCGATTATCCATCGATCGAAATAATATAAATTATAAAACATTTTTTTACATATTGATTAAATTAATGGACAGTTCTAGACATGTATACAGTGATAAATACATTAATATTAACAAACGTAAGACCGTAAGTAGTGGCGTACCGAGGGGGGAGATCTTGCCCCGGGCGCAGCTCTTGGGGGCGTCAAATGGTCCGCGAAAAAAAAATAATATAAATTTCTAGAAAATACATTAAATTATGTGCCAATACAATAGTAGTTAATGATTCTTCGCAAATAAAACGCAATATTACGAATCTAAACCACCGTATCTTATCGTTTTCTTGTCAATTCAAGGGCGGATTTGCCAGTAGGCTAAGGGGGTTGGGCCCGAGCGGAAGATTTTAGGGGGCGGCAAAATACTTTTACAGGTATAAAAAATAAGTAAATACCTATGCACGCATTCGTTGTTTGCGCAGGCGCTGTTTTAGTGCCATTAAAATACGGCATGGGCGGCTGTCAGGCGACCAACGCTTTAAAAGCAGTCTTGTTAAATTCACACAATACTCAAAATGCAATACTGCTCTGAATAAAAAGCGCTACCAAATTAACAAATACATTGAAATACAATTGTTTGATTTGAACTAATCAAATTGAAATAAATTTGCTAAGAACCAACATTTCAGTGTCTCTAATGCAGAAGTAGAGAAAGGTATGGGAAAAGTGTGCAGGCGCCCACATCCTCGCACTACAAAGTGTGAAAAAACTTTTACATTGCAATTTAAAACAATTAAAACCGTTTTCAATTAATACAGTTTGTTTTAATACACTAATTGGCATGAAATGTTAAGTGGCGCTTATTACAATACGGCAGTGAAAATAAAATAAAAATCGTAAAGCCGTTTCTGAAATTAGCGCCCACAAACACAGAGACAAAGTGACAATATTTTAACTCCTTCGCGTATCAATTTAACATGTAATTTAATTAATTTGCGAATATATTTTAGATGTCAAAATTAATTAGGCTAAAAAGGTATTGTGCCCCGGGCGCGGGATAAGACAAACTATTTGACAGTGTAAAAAAAAATCGTCAAAGTAATCATCCTTATTTAAACTAACTATAATGGTGAGGTGCTCGCAAATTGAATTTAATGTTTTATTTTATTTAAAATATGTTATTTTTTCTTTTTTTATTAAGACCAAAAGTAACAAAACTCAATTCTCTAACTTGTTTTTTAAACAAATGTCGGCCAACTTAAACAAAATCCTGGCCTTGTCCGTGGACACACAGATATTACACCCATAAACCTTAAGGTAATGAAGTCTGAAACGCTCGCTCCGATCACACTCCAAATTGTTGAACATTTACAAAATTATTGATTTCACTTCGATATATAATAATAAAGTATAAACAAATTATTGTAATGTGAATAAATGTGGAAATTAATACATGAACGATCCACGATATATCGAACTTTGTATACATGACAATGCATGTGCATATAGTGTGGGCAAGTCGAGAGAAAAATTGATGAAAACGAGATAAATACGTAAAATTACAACTTTTCTGAAGTTGACTTTGATAATAGTATTGTATTTATAATTGACGATGCTTAATACCTGAGGATGGTTTCTTATTTGCCTAGTAAATTTACAGCGATAATGCGTCGTGTTTTGGCATTTGAGTTTGCTTGCAGATTCTTTGCTGCGCATTGACGCTTATTGCTGGACAATATGACATCTTGTGAGGGTTACAAGAGATGTCTGCGACGCTCTGAGCTTAAACGACTGTGTTTATTGCTAGACAATAATTCGTGGTTGGTAGTTAAGAGTAGTTGCGACACTCTTTACCTGAGCTTTATGTTTGTTGTCTACCCAATAGTACATCTTCGATTTCACTATCACCGGGTCAATCAGATTCCATGTGAAGGGTTTCTAAGTACGTCGTTACATTATGAATACATAATATGGTCAGGTTGATGGATGACTTAATATATTAACTTAATATCTATCATTGTCGTTTGCTGAGATATCTCGTCCGCGTCTCGGACGGCGTATACGAGTAGCAATGAGTAAATACTTGCTGTGTGTACGTTAATTCAACGAGTGTGCCTTGTGTTGCAGTATGATCCTTATCTTATGTAGATTTGCCCAAGTCGGATCCCTCTATTACGGGATTGCAGACTGTCTGAACTCAATTATTTTTAACAATAATTAAAGGCCAGTAATTTTCACATTTTAAATAATGATGGTGATTTGTTGATGGGTGATGCAAATTTGGTCAATGCCCATACTTTGTGAGGAAGCAGTCTTATCTTGAGAGAAATTTGGAGCTAGTGATAGGTAGCGTGCGGAGCGGCCAAATGCAGAGACAGTTTAATTTTATTACTGTATTTTGTTTGTTATTTCATGTTCACTTTTTTTCCTTTAAATTGTTTATTCTCCTTTTGTTACAATTGAGCGTCGGTAGCTCAGGGGTAAAGCACTAGACTTATAATATACAAACTTGGGTGGGATAGGTCGATTAAATAGAAGTAAAGGGAATGCAGTAAGATTAAAAAAAACAGTCTAAATGTTATTCATTATTTCATTTTTTTTTGTTTTGATATAATATTTTGTTATAAATGATGTCACGTTTGGTGGTTTTTTTAACATCATGGCCCTATGCCACCCTCTCGATCTCGTCCTGACGCGGTGAGGCCAAGGTCTTTATTTTTATAAAAATGAATAATAATTTTAAAACTTAAGGCTAATTAAAATTATGGCAATAAAATTTTCATGAAATACAATATTTAAAGTTAAAATTCTCTACCACTTTCAAAAGCCTATTAATCATACTAGTATTATAAATGCGAAAGTCTAGATAGATGGGTGGATGTTTGTTAGAGTTTGTAGCCTGAACGGACTTGAAAGAAATGTGGTATGGATGACGGCGATAGTCTGGAAGAACGCTCACTTTTGTTTTATTTTAATTCCACGCAACGGAGTCGCGGGCGAAAGCTAGTTAATCAATGAATTTTAAAACACACATCTATGTTTAAACTAATAAAACAATAATAAAATATTAAAAACTAACTCTATAGGAATAGTTAACACTTAGGTATCACTAGTATTTGAACTTAAGTTTTATTTCTGTCTATTATTTTATTTCCTATCATTTTATTGACCGATTTCCCAAAAGAAGGAGGTACTCAATTCGTTTATATGTTTTATTTTGGCGCCAAATGATCCGGGAAAAAAAATTATAATCAATTTCTAGAAAATACTTAAAATTACATGCCAATACAAAAATAGTAAATGATTCTTCTCAAATAAAACGCAATATTAGGAATCTAAACCACCGTATCTTATCGTATTCTTGTCAATTCAAGGGCGGATTTGCCAGTAGGAGCCTGGGCGGAAAATGTTAGGGGGCGGCAAAATACTTTTACAGATATAAAAAATAAATAAATACCTATGCACGCATTCGTTGCTTGCGCAGGCGCTGTTTTAATGTCGTTAAAACACGGCATGGGCGGCTGTCGGACGACCAACGCTTTAAAAGCAGTCTTGTTAAATTCACACAATACTCAAAATGCAACACTGCTCTGAATAAAAAGCGCTACCAAATTAACAAATACATTGAAATACAATTGTTTGATTTGAACTAACTAAATTAAATTAAATTTGCTACGAACCAACATTGCAGTGCCACCAATGCAGAGGTAGGGAAAGGTATGGGAAA